ACACACACACACAGTGCACACACACACACAGTGCACACACACGCTGTGTCACACACACACACACACACACACACAGTGCACACACACACACAGTGCACACACACACAGACACAGTGCACACACAGACACACACACAGACACACACAGACACTGCACACACACACACAGTGCACACACACACACAGTGCACACACACACACACACACACACACTGCACACACACACACTCACACACACACGTTCACACAGCAGCACAGCTCCTATCAGAACAGAGACTCCCTCCCCAGCACCCTGTCCTCAGAGACACGCTGCCTAATTTCTTCCAGCTGCATCTGCTGATGTGTCATTTGTGACAGAACGCAGAGTCAGCACGCTGACATTCCCTGAGCCCCCGTGTCCCGGGGAGCTGCAAACACCCAGAATCCACAAACACCACCCGTGGGGCAGCACAGAACAGCTTGGGCAGGAGCCCACTCTCAGTTCATCGTTCCCACGCCACCAACGTGCCCAGAGGGTGTAAAACGGGGTGAATTGATGGGGTTTTGCCCTTCCCCACCCCCAGCTCAGCACCACTCAGCAAGTTCTGTGTGGAAGCAAAGGAGAAAGCACGTGGAATAGCAGCCTCGGCACGGGAAGGCTTTCCCAAAGACAAAGCAAAGCTCTCCCTCATCCCACGGAGCCCTGAGGCACAGACCCCGAGGGCTGAGCTGCTGCCCTGCCCTGCCCTGCCCGGCACAGATACCAGGGAACAGCTGCTGGGATGTGCCAAGCTTCACACGCCACCACGGGGGACAAAAGCTGGCACAGTCACAGCAGCAGGGACTGACACGAAGCCCTTACACGCTGTGTGGGGCAGGAAGCTCCTCGGGATCCACCAGGCTATCCAGGGCTCCCTCCTCCGGCTCCGCAGCCTCCGCCCCATCGGGATTTTCTAACCCGGAACTCTCCACTGGTGTCTCACAAGCACCGAGATCCCTCTCACTTGGCAGCACAGGACAGGGGACAGAAGATCAGATTAGCTCAGCTCAGACTCGAGTGGCTGCTGCAGGTGGACAAGGATGTGCAGGTGACGTGGGTGGGCACCAAGCCATGCCTGCCAACAGGACCTGCCTGGCCAACACGGGGGTGCCAGCGCCTCGGGGACGCTCCACACCGTTCCCACCATCTCCAGTTGGACTAACAGGCAGCTGAGCATACAATGGACATCAGCCCCAGCGTGCTGGATCCCTTCCCTGGGTTATCCCGCTCTCTCCAGGCCCTCGGAGAACATCCCCAAGGTGTGTCAGCCCTGTCAGCCATACTCACACTGCTGTCCAAATTACAGATGGGAGTGTTGGCAGGCATGCTTGTATCTACAGTCCTACTTCATCTCAGAAGCACAGAGAGGAGAGACAAGGCAAGCACGAGCAGCTTCACAGGCAGAGAGAGAGAGAGGATGCTCAGCTGGGAAGCAGGAACCAAGTGATAAGGAGACAATTCCTGCGGGCAGAACACGTTTTTGGAGACCCTCACACGAGCAGCTCCTCCAAGAACAAGGCTGCAAATCCCACAAAGCCAGTCATTTAGATGGACTGCAGCTTCTGCTCATGAATTTTCCTGGCACGGGCAGCAGCTCCTTGGTTCCCAGTGCCCTGGAGAACGTGTTGCTCTGCGTGGAGGCCAAGAGCTTTGACACAACTCATCTGTAAATGCCAGGCTGGGGCTCTCCAAGGAGGAGGAGCTCGAGGGAGCACAGAGCTCGCTGCTCAGAACAGCATTCCAACTGTTCCAAACAAATCCCCACAAAGAGGCTGAGAACAGCTCCCCTGGACAGCCCGGGGTAAGTGGGGTGTGGAAGCCAGCGTTCCTCTTGGGATAACAGCTGGTGATCTGCCCACAGACCAGGACACAAAACAGCTTAATGCTCACACCTGCTCATGGCCACCTCTGTGGAAGGAAGAGAACTTGCTCCCATCACAGCTGGACTCTCCTGGCGTCAGGAATAGACACCTGAGAGACTTTAGCCACAGGCAAGACCATGGCAGAGGCCACATCTGCCCTGTTTGTCAGCCCAGAGCCCAGCACACGGCGTGAGCAGGCTCAGCCCATCCTGGCAAGGGCACTGCCAGGGAGGCAGAGGGCATTGCCAGAGCTGGGGCAGCCCCAGGGAAAGGCTGGGCAGGCACTCTGGCTCCCCAGCCAGGCAGAAGCTGAAGGCTGCTGAGACAGGGCTGAGGAGGCAGCAGGAGAAGCGAGGGGTTCAGTGGGACAGCCCCTGTGAGAGGCTACAGCAGCTGGGGGTGCAGGGCAGGGCACACCTGGACAGGCTGCAGGGAGCACAGCAGGGAGGGCAAGGCAGGAAGCTCTGGAGCTGCCCACGTCTCCTCCGTGCCTTTGTTTGTACCATACCTCTCAGCAGCTTTTGGTCTTTTCCTTTGCTCTTCCTCTACACTGCCTTTGCTTTGGTCTTTTCCCTCTTCTCCCAGCTCCTGGGCCTGCAGGTAAAAGCAAACAGGGTGGAGTTTGTGGCTCCTTCACCATCAAAGACCTCAAAGGAGTTCTGCTGATGGAATCAGCTGGACCAGAACACTGGATGTGCCAGGCTCCTCTCCTGAGGGTACCCAAGGGTCTCCAACCATCCCAGGAATCCTTTCAGAAGCACGAGGGAAGGCCTGGGAGCTCAGCATGCCCAGGATAAAAGATGAACTCCCTGCCAGCACTGCAAGCTTGGGACACAGCTTTGGCTTTTCTTTCCTGAAGGTCATTTTACCATCCCAAGCCACACTGAACTCCCTGGAAAGCACAGGAGAGAAATCTCCTAAAAGAGAAATGTCACACACCAAGTGCTGTGGCAATGAAGCAAAGGATGCATTGTCTGGGACCAAAAACCGTATCAGGACCCAGTCCTGCCTCCCATCCAGGCTCTGGGGCAGGGAGTGATGGGCTGCACAGAGCCACCAGCCCAGGCATTTCTGACTCCTGGATCCATCCCCCTTGGCAGCACACCGAGCCTTCAGTTGGCTCATTGATGGCATAGTAAATACTTGAAATATGAATAGGAGATATTTGAATGTCAGCTGCTCCTTTCCCCACCTGCCAGCTCCCAGATCCCCCTGTCCTTGCAGCAGGGCCACCTGAGGAGGGGAAGGCCTTCAGCCCCACAGGGATGGCCCATTCATAAATTTTTGGGGCAGCCAGCAGGTGAGCTCAGCCCCTGCGTGCGTGGAGCAGGGCCAAAACGGGGCGGAATTAAAGCCACGGTAATTCATGCAAATGTTCACTGGAGCAAATGGCAGAAGGATTCCCTGCAAGTGCTGTCACCTTCCATCTCATCAGCCTGGGCACAGCCCCCCAGCCCCCTCCTGCCCCTGTAACTGATGACTCCAATTCCCCAGAACTGGAGCTCAGCAAATGTTTCCTTGCTCCAAATGGGCTCTGTCACCACTGCCTGGGAACGGGAAGGAGCCAGACAAATGGGGAAGGAGATCACCTTGGAGAGAGGGTAACTGCTCACAGGGCAACTCCTCTGAGCTCATGCACAGGGCTCCTACTGCCCCTCTGCCCAACAGAGGGCTGGCAGGGATTCCTCCTCCAGAGGAATCGTGGGCTGCAGGAACCTCTGGACACGTTTGGAAGGTGAAGACAGCCCCCATCTGCAGGGAACGAGGGCAGATTTTAAGCCTTGTCCATGGAATTATCGGATCCTTGCCCCTCCTGCAGCCCCAGAACCCCAAGCAGCTCGGTTTTCCACCCAGCTGCATCCCCGGAGGACACTTCACATGCCTGAGCCACAGAACCAGCTGTGTGAACACAGGGATGACAGATAAGGGGCCATCTCCTCCCTCTGCACAGCCCAGATCCCAGGGGACGTCTCACATCAGCTCAGATCATGCTGCAAGGTGCCAGCACTGAGCACTTGGGACAGGTTTGCCTTTCTCCTGAGGGCCAGGCTCCCCAGGGAATGGTCACAGCCCCGGGGCAGCGGCAGTGAGCAGCTCCAGGAGCACTCTCAGGCACAGGGTGGGATTTTGGGGTGTCTGTGTGGGGCCAGGGGTTAGACCTTGATGATGTCTGTGGGTTCCTTCCAACTCGGGACATTCTACAACTCCAGGTTCTGCATCTTGCGCTCCCTGGGAAGGGAAGGGGGGAAGGAGCAGCCTCCCCTCTCCCAGGCCCAGCAGGACACATCCCACACCAACAAAACCCCAATTCCATGCCCACAGAGCTGCCAGAGGTGTCTTTTGGTTTCTTTTTGCTGTTTCTTTTTCAACAACAGAATATTTCGCCAATATATTCAAAGCAAGGCAAGCTCCTCACACGGAAGGAGGCACATTCCTACAACCCCGAGCCTCTGTGCACAGACACAAAAGAGCAGCTGCAGTTCTGCAGGGAGCACCATTTCACACCCACCTCTCCCCAAACAGGGCTGTAATAAACCCAAGCGTGGCTGCTCCAGCAGCATTTGCATGCGCGGTGCCTGCGCTGCGGGGAGGGAGAGGGGGAGCACAGCAGGCATATGTTTTGTTTTCCCTTCACATCTGATTATGCTCATTATTAGGCACGAGAGGACAGGTGTATTCTCCAGACACAACCTTGCAAACAGGATTGCTCCTCTCTGCTGGACAGGTGGGGAGTTTGCCACTCAGGCTCTCTCCTCCAGAGCAGCTGATCCGCTCACAATCAGGGCAAGGCTGAGTAACCCCAGCTGGATCCTGGATCCTGCCTCCAACCCACACAGAGATGGAGCGGGAGGGCTCCAGAGGAACGTGGGGCTGAGCAAGCCAACTCAGAACCATGCTGAGAAGACAAGGATGAAGCAGAGATGCACAGCAATCGTCAGGCAGAGCTGCCTGTCCGGTGCTGCACCCCGGGCTGACACAGCCATGTGCACACTCCATGTGCCACAGACTCACTGAAAGGAGCCCCTTTCCCCCCTACATTAAAGCAGGCAAGACAACCAAATGCTTAAAAATAAGCTTCCCTCTACCAAAATCTGTCAGAGGGAGTTAACCTCCTTTTCTTCCCATTGATTCTATCGTGTTCTGCCACACAAATCCTTCCCATCTGCTTAAGAGAAAGAAAAGGACAAATATACTCACAAAAGAAGAAAGGAAAATTGACTCTACTTCCTCCATTCCCCAGGAAAGCCATTTATTGGCTCTCCTCTTGGGGCAGGGAGAGCCCCCAGGAGCCTGCCTGTGTACACCCCTCCAGCCACCTCTGCTCAGGGTTTATGTTCTTTGTGTAGCCACCTGCACCTCCTCTCTGCAGAGAAAACAAAGCCCTGGCGATGCTGCTGTGAGCCCTGGCACTTCATATAACCCCTGCTCACCTCTGCAAAGCCTTCAGTGACAGCACCCCACCGCAGCACCCCAGCTGCCTGCCCACAGAGCACCCCTGAGTCCCTCACACAGCACTGACCTTGCTGTCCAGATCAGGAGACACAGTCCCCACATCCAGAACCTCCTCGGAAAGCTGGGTCTTGAAGCCCAAGCCCTAAAAACAGAAAGCAGAAAGGATCAGTCTCTGACGAGCAACCAGAGATCCTGAGACCAATATCCCAGGGCAGCTCAGCAGCATTTCCCTTCACTGGGCCCGTCCCTGTGGGACCAAGGGACATCAGTGCCACACAGGGAGGGCACTGTCACTCCCTCCTGTGCCACCCACCTTAGCAGCCGAGGGTGGAACACCCAAAGGGGGCACATCTTCCCCAGCCCCTGCTGCTCCCCTGTGTGCTACTGCTGCACATTTCAGGGATTTCTTTCCTCACAGCCAGCCCCCACAAGTTATTCAGCCCCCGAGACGCTCCCCGCTCCTGGCAGCCCCGCACACGCGTGCCCACACAAGGCACGGCCACTTGCCAGCACGGGCTCGTACCAAGGCAGTAAATAATGATATTCTCAGCCATTTGCTGGCCATGCTGCCTCTGCTCCCACTGGCAGATGGCAGTGGCAGCTTCCCGTGGAGATGAGGGGATGCTGATGGGCATCTCCCCCCGAGGCAGGGCTGCCCTCCCGCTGCTGTCCCGCGGGACCCTCCGCAGCGGGGTCTCCAGCCACGGCCCCCCTCGGCTGAGCCCCTAAAGCACAATTCTTACCGTGCTCATTATTTGCCTTTTTGCAATTATCCCAGTACACTCTCAGCTCTACGTGACCTACTTCTGCTGGGATATCACCTCACCCACAGCCCCAGGCTGCAAGGTGCAGGGGGCACTGCTGGCTGTGCAGCACTGCACCCACTGCTCCATCCCAGAGGGACACAAAGCCCACAGCCAGGGAAAAAGGAGCTTTTGGTGACTCACCACAGGCTGAACCACCTCGTGGTCGGAGCACTTGGAGACGGGCAAGTCCTGCTCACAGCTGCTGACCCCGGATGCCTTTGAAAGCTGAGAGGAAAAACACATTTAACTGTACATGTGCCACCCCTGCAGCTCCACCTGGGCATTCCCGACACGGCAACTCCGACTGGCAACAAGTCTGGCCTCTCTCGGGGGGGAAAAGGTGACTGAACATCGTGGGGAAGACACCAAGGATGCGTGGCCCACAGGACGAGCACAAAACAGCACTTCACAGGAGGGCAGGAGGTGGGGATGGGGAGGGCAAAGAAGTGCTCTTCTAACACCCCTGACAAAAGGCACTTGCTTCCTCTCCATCTGCAAGGATCTCTGCAGCTCTCAGAGCTCCCAGCCCACCACGCAGCACAGCACTGGAGCCATAAAAGCACTTTAAAATTCCACTTTGCTGTGCCTAAGTGCAGCGAGGGCTCCTGCACTCCATTTGCAGCTGCAGGGAGCTGCTGGATGGGAACAGCCTGTGGCCCTGCTGACTTCAGCAGAACAACTCAGGTGCACAAAGCACACGGATGAGCTTGGGAAAGCAACGCCCTCAGCTCCTCAGGACAGAGCGCGTTTTCCAGGCTCGGTTTTGTAGTTTATCATTTCTTACAGACATTCCGCATCAGTGAACTTGAGAAATCATCAAAATCAGCAGGAAGGCAGCCAGATTGGAGAGAGATCGTTCATCAGATCCCGTGTTCTGGCTCGGCTCCTGCTCTGGAAGCGAACACGAGCGGGCAGCGCGTGTGTGGCAGCCCAGCTGTGGGGCCAGGCCAGCGTGTGACACTCAGCCCAAGCCCCTGCTCCTGCAGCGTGGCCAGCTCTCCTCCCAGAGCGGGAGGACTGGAAGGTTCTGCGCTCCCAGCTCCAGAACCGGCCCTGAGGCTCCGTCCTTCCCCCTCCAACCTCGCGCCTCGCGCGGAGCCGCGAACGCGGCGCCAGGCAGCTCCTTACACGTCTGGCCCAGCTCTGAGCAAGCTGAGAGAAACAACAGAAGGAGAGAAACAAAGCAGCACGGACAGCTGGGCTCGGCGTGAGCTTCATTACCAGCCCAGGACAGACGGCAGCACTGGGAGCTGAGGCTGCTCCTCCTCCCAGGCCCCACACACGCGCTGGCTTTGGGCAGCCCTCGCCGTGTGCAGGAGGGAATGACTGCCCAGCTCCGTCCTGGAGATGCCCATCTGGGAATCCAGAGCACTTGTGCCCCCCCCGGGAATGGCTGCCCTGCTGACCAGGAAAGCACTTGGACTGGCTTCACAGAAAACCAGGCAGTGCTCCAAGAGCTTTCCCGAGTCAGGGCCTGAGGAGATGATGGGAACAGCCAACACCAAAACCACACAGGCAGATCTCTTACTTTGCCATTGCCCAGCCTGTCCTCTGATTTTGAATCAGCTGCTGCTTCTTCCCTCTCTTCCTCCAGCACCTTTTCTGCACAGGACACGGTGTCAGCAGTGGCAGCCAGGCTGGCCAGCTGATCTGTGCCAGCCCCTGCTGCAGCCGCAGAGGTGGCTCGGGGCTGCCCGGGAGAGCCGGCCACGTCCGGCCCTGCTGCGCTCCTCTCCCCCTCGGACCGAGGCAGCTCCTCAGCTGCAGAGACATCTCCTTCCACCTCAGCATCTTCTTTGTGCCCAGCTTCATCCCCAGCAAGTTCCTGCTCCTTGTTCTGGGCAGACAGGCTGCTGTCAGCATCTCCGGGGAGGATGTGAACCGGAGACGGAGGGCACGCAGCACCAGAATCCAAGGAAGACTCTGGCACTTCTTCAGGATGCCTCGATTTTAAAGACTCCTTCTAGGCAGCAAGTCAAACACAATTACTGACCCAGTATTCTCTCTGGGGGATGCAGGAATCAGGAACAGCACAGGTTCTCCTACAGCAAGCAGCAAGATCACAAATCTTTGGGTGACTTCAAGACCTGTTTGAGTTCTTTTCACACAGTCCCATTCCAAGGCAAGGGACTCCATTGACATAATCTCATTCATTTCTTGGGCTCTGACTTTTTTTGATCTGTTGCTTTTTTATTCCCAGGGTCTCAGTGGATAAGAGTGGCTGTGCAAGGCCACCAGCCCCTGAGAGCACCCGGCGTGCCCCACAGCAGGCTCATTTATGCTTCCGCATTGGATCTGTTCAGTGAGAGATGGAAATTTGTAAGAGACCATGACAGGACATTTCACTGCTGCCTGACATTTCAAACAGAGGAGAGCAGGCAGGATCACCATCCCACCTTGCAGTGGGACAGGCTGGAGGGTGGGCACTGACTGGAGGCACCACTCAGAGCTCAGAAAGAGCCCATGACTAACAGAGGAGGCTGAGAGATGGGGGAAAAACAGCCCCAAATTAAAGCTTAGTCACCCAAAGGTTCAACTGCCTCTCCCAGCAGTGGGGAGGCCACAACACTGCCCATGGAGAGGGGAATGGTCAGGAGAAGGCTCCCTCATCAGCATGCAAACAGACCTGCTCGCACGTCCCACTTCCTCACTGTTTTATTAATGCCGCGGTGTCTTGTCAAACATTCCCTGCATCCTGTGCACGGCGTGTTCTGTACACTGAGCGCATATTTTAGCGGTGTATTTTTATCAGAGTGCCTCTGGAACGCTGTCAGCTCCCAGCCCGGGGCTGCAGCACGTTCTGAGTGTGTCACTGCTCTGCCAGACCTCCCTGGGGCCGGGCGAGCATCCAGCGGGATGGAGAGGACAGAGGAGTCCAGCTCCGGGCCCTTCCCAAAATCCCTGCAGCTCTGGGCCTCTCCTGCAATGTGCTGGTACTGACAGCTCACAGCCCCTGTCCTGCAGAGGCTCCCAGAGTCACCAACCAGCCCCTGGGGACAGCAGGGCTCAGAGAAACGAGGGCAAGGGGAACTTCTTTATTCACCCTCGTGCTTCCCCGTTATGGGGATCAGGATGGCTGGGAAGTTATGCCCCTTTTGGACAACTTGCTCCAGAGTTCTCCTGAGGACATACCACCAGGAGACCTGGCAGCGTCCAGGATATCCCAAATGAGGCCAAGCAGGATTCTGATGCTTGAACACAGGATCACACACACTCCAAAATATATCAATGCACCAGCAATGGTGTGCACACAAAAGGACTTCTCTCCAGGCAAGTTCACCTCAGCTACTAAAATATCCCAGAATAATCTCTTTGGCTGGCAGAATCCTATTTTAATGGCAATTACAGGCAAACCTTTTGTCAGCATCACACCTTGATGATCACAAACGCAACTCTGCAAAGAGGGAACCGTGCCAGTCACACACGCAGCTGAAGGAGGAGGGAGGTTTTTCCTCCTGCAACAACAGACTATAGATCTTCTAGGGATTTCAGAGCTGGACAAGTCAGCTGGGTTATAACTGGCTTGGGCTGTAACATTCTACCTGCCCTCAGCGGCTCTAACTGATGGGAAATTCCTGCCTATCAAATCATTACTTCCAGTGATCAGCATTAAACTTTAACCAACAACAGAAACAAGCCAAGCAGCTGCAGACACACAGCACGACACCAGAAGCTGCCTACTGCATGCAAAGCCTGGGTGGCACCATGCAAGCAGGACGGGGATGCCAGGGAGCCACTGTCACCTCTCCCAGGCTGGCAGCTTCCTCCTCAGGGCTCCCGTGGGGCCGGGGAGCAGCTTCAGCAGCATCAGCAGCAGCAGCTGATGGGCTGCCACGGTCCTCCTGCTCCTCCTTGCTGTTCTCCTAGTTGGGGGGACACAGCCACTTGCAGAATTCCCCACACCCAAGTACTCGCCCACCTGGGACAGCTCAGCACCCCCCATACCCACCCCTAGAGCAGAGAGCTCTCCAGCCCAGCAGCTTTCCTGGGAGCTCGGGAGCTCCCAGACCCAGATGCCCAAACACCAAGCAATTGGACGCTTCAGTGCTGCTTTTCCTGCTGGCCAGCTCCATGAACTCCCTGCTCCTCCAGACTCTTCCCAGCTCCGGGCTCCCTTCGAGCCGTGTCTGATGCTGCCTCCACTCCACCCAACACCCCGGCTCAGCAAGTCCCTAAAGCCTCCTATTTCCTGTGCATACAGGCATTCAGCCCTGACCACGGGCTACATGAAGGCAGTTCTTTCATGATTTCACCCATTACTGCTGAGATTTCCCCCTTAGGACTTGCTACACAAACCCTTGCCTCCTGTTTCCCAAGGAAGCTGGAGAACAGCTCGGGAGCAGGCTGAGGCTCACTCCTAGGAATGCTTTACTACTGCCATCTCATGGAACTACAAAAGAATTCTATTTTCCAGTCGGGGTACTGCTGTCTTATCAGGACTAGGCTATCACCCATCTGGCTTAACAGCCTGGCTGTTGGGCAGCAATTGCCATTCCATAATAGATTCCCGAAGCCCCATCCCCGCGGCACTGAAATGCCAAGACAGCTCTTTGTTCCTGCACACATTAACATTTCAGTGAGGAATTGAGCCCCCACAGGCTGCTTGTTGTCTGGAGATGAGAGAGTCAGGGCTCTCTTTGTCACATCCACTTTAGCATAAGCCTTTGCAGATCCTGCCCAGCACCGTGAATAGGTTCTCCAGCAAAGTACTTTACAGCTTAATTTTCGTGTGCTGTGAAAAGGATGAGGGAAATACTCTAAAACACTTTAAAAGAAATTAATTTGCCTTTCAGATACTGGAACAGGATTTTCAAAGCGGTGAGAAAGGATTAATGTCAGCACAAACAGTCGGGCCAAATCACCAGAGCTGCTTACGACGCACTTCCCATTGTGCCCTTGTCATCTTAAGGCTGATCCCAGCTAAGGAAGCGCAGGGAAAGCACAGCGTCTGCACAAGGCCCTGGGTGCACTGAATGCTCTGTGTCTCAGCCACGGGATTTATCAGCAGGGCAAGAAGAAAGAAAAGCGGGTTCTGTGTTGCCACAGAGAAGCGGCCACGTGCAGCCCACGTGAAGATTCCCATGGAAGCCAGTGCCAGAGCATTCCCACGGGATGTTCCCCTCTCCTCTCCCCAGGGCCAGCACTGCAGCTTCAGCTGACAAGGAGCCTTCCCTCCACAGCCCTGACAAACACCGTGCAGAGGGGAAGTGCCTCTTCCTCATGGAGCCTTCCTCCCACACCAAGTGCAGGGGCACCTCTGACCCCAGAGCCTTTCCCTGCAGTTCCCGGGAAAAGCAGATTTCCCCCTGCTTCACCTGCCTGCCTTCATTGTTCCTGTCTGAGGATGAAGCAAAGCTCCAGCCTGTGCAGAGATGTCTCCTCGAGTCCCAGCCACCAAACCACAACCACTCCAAGCACAAACTTCCCTTCAACGCCCACCCCAGTGTCCCCTGTGGGCCACGTCTGGTTTCTCACAGCCCTGCTGCTGTGCCTTCCTCTCCATCACCCTGCTCCAGGTTGTTCCTGCTCCTCTGTGACGCAGGAAACTCATCCCTCTGGCACCATTCCTGCACCCTCATCCCCTGGCAGTGCCACAGCTGCTCTGCCCTGCCCATCCCATCCCCGTGGTCCTACCTCAAAGTCAAAGCTGCCTGCCAGGGCTTCAACATTCAGGTACACATTTTTAAACCGTCCTGAGGTCCCATGGAAACTCTGAAGGATTAAAAACAAAAAAAAAAAGGAAATAAATAAACGGCCAAAATTGAGTTCAGACCTCTGCAATGCCACAGGAATGAAATTGGGCAGCAGAGCCAAGGCAATGCACCTACAGCCAATTTATCTTGGAATGACACCGTGGCAGATGTTCATTTATAGGGAATGCCGTGTGGAAATAGGATCAGATGCTTTTTGGGGACCAAACAGCACAAAGAAAAGAGAGCACAAATGAAAGCCAGGGGAGCTTCAGGAGGCTTCAGCACTCTGGTCACAGCAACAGCCAGGGCACACAAATACCTCATTTTCACTGTCTTCCTCTTCATTTCTCCATTTCTCTGGCACTGCCACGTTCAAGGAACTTTTCTCTTCACAGATCAAATCCAGCAGATTCTTGGTGCGGCTGGTGGGCCTCGATATCTCTGCAGGCTGTGGAGGCCAGAAGAAAGAGAAGTGAGAGGTCAGAGAACAGGAGAGGGGAGACAGAGACCCACTGGGACAGGAGGCAGCTGCTGGGTTCTGGGAGGGAGGTCACTTTCCTACCACTTAACATGTTTGTTTATTTTTTGAAAGTGTTTATGTCTATGTTTTGTAAATATTTTGCTTTGCCTTCCTTTAAAGGATCAATTTCTCACCATTTAACAAGTTTTATTGATCCCCTAGGTCACTTTCTAGTATAAATAAATAAATAAAGCCTTCAACGTGGTTGTTAACCTTACATTCATCGGGACAATAGTTCTTTTAATTTTATTCTCAGAGAAGCACGAAAATAGTTTATTAAATTGTATTATCTGTATGGGTTGTCATGCTTCATTTGGACACCAAATTCTACTAAAATTTAACACACTTTTTTCCCCCTGCAACAATTAAATAAACAATTTTTTCAATCTGCTAAACATAGCAAAAGAAAGCTCACCACTAATTTAGCACTGTGCTCCCTATAAACAGAAGAAGAAAAGAAATACAGTTTTTTAACATAAAACAGTATTTCAAAACTGACAGAAGATCACAAATCCTGTCATTTAAGTGTCCCCACGCCTGTGACCCGTTGCAGTGCAATTCCCAGGGCACATTCCCAGGCAAGAGGGAGCCTCACCGGAATTCCTTCCTTGGGGATGAGGCTGGAGTCCACCACATTCCCCAGGCCCAGGCTCAGGGACCCACGAAGGGCGATGGATGAAGACGGGGTGAGGCCACGGAGAGGAGAGAGGGTGCCCAGGGGAGGCTGGATGGGAGCCAGCTGGGAGCCTGGGGGCTGGAGAAGCACAGGGAAGTCACTGGCAGGACAGCACAGCTGTGCAGCTCGCACCCCTGACCTTGGAACGGGACAAGGAGCCCCCTGGGGCAAACAGGGGCTGCGGGAGCAACCCTGCTCAGAGACCCCACACCCAGCAGGCACCAACACACGGGACAGGTAATGAAACAGGGCATGATTCACTCACACATTTTGCTTTCCAAATGCCCACCTGAATGGGTCCTGAATAGTCCTCCCCCTCCCAGACACACCAAGAGTGTGTGTTCACCACACAGTGTCTTCTAGCCAAAATTCAAGGTGATTCTGTACTCAGTGTTCCCAGCCCAGCTGATCTGCTGCTCATCACCCAGGTCTGGGCTCACAATGCACTTTGTGTCCTTGAAGCCACTTGGTCATCCTCTGCCCAGCCCTCCCCAGCAGCTCTGCAGGCAGTTGCCTACTCACAGGCAGCTGCTTCAGGAACTGCTTCTCCTTCTTGTCCTTCTTCTCTTTCTTGTCCTTCTTCTCTTTCTTGTCCTTCTTTTCCTTCTTCTCTTTTTTCTCCTTCTTTTCTTTCTTCAAGCTGCCCCGTGCCAGCAGCTTCTCCCTCTCCCGGATCACCAGCTGCTTGTAGTGCTCATCACAGGGATGCTCCCACGTGGAGAGCCCGTTTTCAAAGTTGAAGAAATAGATGTCACCACCCGCAATATCTTGGCTGCACGGCAAAATCAGCAGGAAAAGGTGAAAGAGCATGTTAAAAATACAGCTGTACCGGCCAGAACATCTTTGCAGACTGTGTGAGCACCTGAAGCTCAGGGAACAGGACTGTGATGTCTCCAGGAAGCCAAAAATTCTCCCAGTTCTCCCAGGCTGCTCATATCCAGCTTCCCAAGCAGTTTTCCCCCTTCTTCTGCCACCCCAAAAAGCCCTGAGCTCCTGATCCCCCGCCTAACCCAATTCTCTGCCAGCAGGAAGCCATTCCCCTTGTCCTGTCACTGGGAATGCCCCAGCACCCAGAGCTCTCACCAGGCTTTCCACTCCGGGGGCATCGGGGTCACCAGGCACTCCCTGGCCAGCCACAGCAGCTCCGACTCCTTGTCGGGGTCGATCCCGATTGTCGGTGCAAAATCCCGGATTTCTGGGGGAACAGAAGAGGAATCTGGGAAGTTGCTCCACCCACCAGAGCCACCCTCCTCAGCTACCGCTGTGGGCACACCGGGAAATCCTGAGCCCAAAACAAAGCTGGCAAAGCCACCACCAAACTCCTGTGTGCCTGCAGAGCCCATCCAGGCTGGGGACACGGGAAGTGACATCTAATTGAAATTTTTAATTCATGCTAAAATCCCGTGTATTCTACCTCTCCACCCACTTCAGAAACCAATTCCTGTTTTCTGAATACACCTGGAAGTGACCTGCATGCCTGAATCCCTTCTCCCAGCTCCTGGGATGATGGGCCACGCTCACCTTGCTCCATAGGAACGTAGGATTCATTGTATTCCTCTTCCAGAATGAGCTGGTCCCCGATGCGCACGGCTCCTGCCATGGATCCCACACCTGGCAGCGGGGAGGAACCAGCACAGAGTCACAACTGCCCTCAGAAAAGAAAATTCCTTGTCCCCAGCACATGGCAGAGCCCTTCCACTGCAGCACACACAGCAAAACCGAATCAAAGAGCTTCCACACACACTTCCAAGGCCTGTGGAAACAGGGAGCAGAGCTGAAGTGGCACAAAGTCTTAATCAGATCCCCCAGGCCTTCCAGTTTCTACAGGAAAAATGCTTCAGGCATTTTTTAACCAGGTGAAAAATAAGGTGAAATAGGAAAGGGAAGAAAGAGAAAGCAAGCAACTTTCCCAAAGCATTCGTAAGACCCAGGGGGTTGTGGTACCTGCCAGGTAGCCCCAGTGATAACCACCCAGAGCAGGATCAGCACCTGTGACACGGCCATCACTGCCCTCTCCACCTCCCTGTGTCCTCAGCCCACTCTGTATTTATAACTCTTATGTAAAGAACATCTCAGAAGCAGCAACTAATCCTGGCAGTTTCCAGGCAAAGATATTCTCAGGCCATCCAAACCGAACCAGCATCGCGGCGCTCGCACCTCTCCCCCTCCCAAATGTCCCCAGTTAGAGCATTTGGATGTGGGCAACTCGCTCAAGGCCTTCTGTTCCTATTTTCCTCTCCCCAAACTATCCCAGCCCAGTCTCCCATCCCTGGCATTGGCACTGGGGGATGAATTATGGGCTCTCTCCTCTCTTGGAGAATCTGCCTCGCCACTGATGGGGAGACCTTAGCGCGACCTTTCAGTACTTGAGGGGCAGCTATAATCGATGGGGACACGGGGGAACGGCTTTAAACTAAAAGAGGAGTATTTAGGTGAGATCTGCGGAGAGAATTCTTTCCTGGGAGGGTGGAGAGGCCCTGGCACAGGGTGCCCAGAGAAGATTTGGCTGCCCCATCCCTGGAAGAGATAAAAGCCAGTTAGGACGGGGCTTGGAGCAAGCTGGGATAGTGGAAGGTGTCCCTGCCCATGGCAGGGGATAGAATTGGATGATTTTCAGGTCCATTCCAACCCAAAAACCCATTCTATAGCTCTATATAAGCAGGATCGAAGGCTCAGGGCAGCCGCGACCGCGCCAGCCTGGAGCCACGGAAAAAGCGCGGCTGGCAAGGAGGACAAACAGCTTTGGTTAATAGGGTACTTTTAAAAATGGGGGGGAAAAAGCCGTTTTCGCCCTTATCACGACAGCACCCACGCGACACGCGCGCGGCCAGGAGCCGGCAGACCCCGCGTGGGGGCGGGAGGCCGGAACCNGTCATCCCACCCCGACCATCCCACCCTGACCATCCCACCCCAGCCATCCCACCCCACTCCCTGTCGGGGCTGCAGGCACGGGTCAGCTGAGGGCAGGATCCAGCTGGCCCCGCTCCTGGCCCTGCCAGTGGGATGTTTGCCAAACCTGGTAATCCTGCCGAGGCAGGAATGAATCGGGAGCGGGGCTCGGCATATGGGTGGTGATTAGCGGGCGCAGGGATCCGCGGGGGCTGCCCACCAGTCATCCTTCCCACCGGCTGTGCCAGCAAATCTGCTTTCCTGGCAAGGGGAACCTGTGCACCCTGTGTTGCTGCTGCTGCTCTCCGGCCCTGAGTGCTGCCCAAATCCTGCCTGTGGCTTTGGGGGCTGAGGCCAGGCCGTGCTGAGCGAGGAGCTCGTGCTCTGTTTGCACAGTGCTGGATGGTGTTTGCTTGTTGTGCAACTCCCTGATGTTGCTGCCTGCTGCTCCACCGCCTCCTCTCCTCTCTGGGCATAACAAAAGAGGGTCCCACTCCATGCATGAGCCTTCCTGTCTTTCTTTCTTCTCCAGCTGAATATCCTGGTGGACACAGGGAGCAGTAACTTTGCTGTGGGAGCTGCACCACACCCCTTCCTCCGGAGATACTACCAGCGGCAGCTGTGAGTATTCTGGGGGGACACAGAGCCCAGCCACTCAGGCACACTGCTTCTCCTTTTGGGAGGTCTGGCCAGACCCTGCCAGGTACAGCCTGGCCTCTGGAACAGCAGGATCCACGAGCCCTGACTCGTCCCTCGGCCGCCCTTGCAGGTCCAGCACCTACCGCGACCTGCGGAAGGGGGTGTACGTGCCCTACACCCAGGGCAAGTGGGAAGGGGAGCTGGGGACCGACCTCGTCACCATCCCCCATGGCCCCAACGTCACTGTCAGAGCCAACATCGCTGCCATCACGGAGTCGGACAAATTCTTCATCAACGGCTCCAACTGGGAAGGGATCCTGGGACTGGCGTATGCAGAGATTGCCCGGGTGAGTCCTGGCTGACAGTCCTGGATGTGAGCACCAAAACACTTCAGTTGCCTTTTTCCTGGTCCCTGTTTGTCCCCTGGGGCACAGCAGTGCTGTTGAGGGGAGCTTCCCTGGACACAGAGAGCTCTGGAGAAGGGACAGCACTGACATGTCCCTGTCCTGCCTCTGCTTTCTCCTTCCACCAGCCCGACGACAGCCTGGAGCCCTTCTTTGACTCCCTGGTGAAGCAGACACGGGTGCCCAACATCTTCTCCCTGCAGCTGTGTGGGACAGGCTTCTCTCCCAACGAGACAGAGGCCGTGGCCTCGGTGGGAGGCAGCATGGTGAGCACTCCCCGGGTGCCTGGGGGCTCCCTCGTGGCACTGCCAGCGCGTGGTGGCAGCGCCGTTGTGTCTCCTGTGCAGATCATCGGCGGCATCGACCGCTCGCTGTACGTGGGTGACATCTGGTACACCCCCATCCGCAAGGAGTGGTACTACGAGGTCATCATCGTCAAGCTGGAGGTCAACGGGCAGGACCTGAACATGGACTGCAAAGAGGTGGGGGGGCACCGGTGGAGCTGCCCCACGGGCACTGGAGGCACCCACCACTGGTCAGAGGAGGCTGGGTCACATTGGGGAGTGGGCTGGGGTTCTGCACCTGGGTCACTCCTCTTCTGTTCCCCAGTACAACTACGACAAGAGCATTGTGGACAGCGGGACCACCAACCTCAGGCTGCCGAAGAAGGTGTTTGAGGCTGCAGTGAAATCCATCAAAACGGCATCTTCGGTCAGTGGAACCCATCCCTTCCCCACAGGACCCAGGGCAGGGCTGTGGGCAGTGTGGCTGCCCCTCACCAGCCTGGTGTCTCTGCTGCCTGCCCAGCTTGGCCCCGCTCACCTTCCCCTTTCTCTCTGGTAGACGGAGAAGTTCCCGGATGGCTTCTGGCTGGGGGAGCAGCTGGTTTGCTGGCAGGTCGGCACCACCCCCTGGCACATCTTCCCGGTCCTGTCCCTTTACCTGATGGGGGAGGCCACCAACCAGTCCTTCCGGATCACCATCCTGCCCCAGGTGAGCGCAGGCAGGACCGCGCTGGGTGGGCGCGGCTGCCTCCCCCGGCCCCTCCCCTGACGGCTCCTGTCCCCCCGCAGCAATACCTGCGCCCGGTGGAGGACGTGGCCACCTCTCAGGACGACTGCTACAAGT